TGTGTGTGTGTGTGTGTGTGTGTGTGTGTGTGTGTGTGTGTGTGTGTTATGTAACGCTTTTCTGGCAAATCCACCACCCACAGTCCTTACTTGTGGGCACCCCCTGCTGGTAGCCAGCTCAGCACAGGGCTGCAGAGTGGCACTGCCATCTGGTGGCCAGAGTGAGAAATGTCCCAGAGGGTTGAAGCTCAGTCTCTAAATACGAAATAGTTCCGTAGCCCTGCTGGATGCGAGGAGAGACAGGAAACACTTTCTGAGACAGCTGGTCCTTGGAACCCGCACTCCTGACCCCCTAGACTAGCAGATATTTCTAACTGGCTAATTCCCCAGAGGATGCAGCCTTCCATTACAGCCTAAGACAGCCTTATCCCAAAATATTGACTCAAAATGAACCAGGGTAAGCCCTTGACTTAGACTCTAAGGCTTAGAGAAATAAAGGAATCTTCCTTTTTCAGGTCCCACTTTGTTCTTTTCTATTTTTCAAAACACTCCTTCCTCACTGACCTCTTTTTTTTATCTTCACTAAAGACCTATGTAGCAGACAGGGAAAGCACATTTTATCATTAGCCCATTTTACAGATGACAAAACTGAGCTCTAGAGAAATGTATAACTTGCTGGAGATTAGGGATAGACCCAGGACTGGATCACTGGGTACCAATCCCGTGCCCCTTTCCACAGAGCCTGAACACTGAGCGCCCTGAGAAGCAGCGTGGTGCCTGGGCTGTATTTGGAGCCCAGCTCCCCAGCTCTCCTGGTATCCTAATTCCATTGCTCACCAGCACCCACTATAGGTGAACTGGCCACCTTTCCCGGACTGATGCTGACTTTCTTTACCTACCTGATAGTCCAGAAAGTACTGAGCCTGGGAGGAACCAGGAAGTAAGAAGCGAGAATTTAAGACTTTCAAATGACAGTGGGGCCAGGCAGATTGGGTCACCCCAAAGTGGCTGCAAACCGTGGCTTCCTCTCACTGCCCTGCCTCCACAGGTCTCCCCAGTGCTGCGAGACTTCCTGGAACAGATGCTGGTGCGAGACCCCCAGGAGAGAGCCACGGCCCAGGAACTCCTGGACCACCCCTTCCTGCTGCAGACGGGGCTGCCCGAGTGCCTGGTGCCCTTGATCCAGCTCTACCGCAAGCAGACCTCCGCCTGCTGAGCCCAGCCCCAGAGTGCGCCTGCCACCTGTGCCCACAGGCAGGGGACACTGGGCCACCAACTTGCCAACAGGGCCTGGCTGCCTGCCTCATTCTCTCAGTATTCTCTCCAAAGATTGAATGTGAAGCCCCGACCCTGCCCTCCTGCCCCTCAGCCCACTGGGCCAGGCCGGACCTGCCCCTCAGTCACTTTCCCTCCCAAGAGTCCCCAGTTGCCTCTGGGATGATGGAGACCTCTTCTGCAGGATGACCCTTCGTTATCTGCACAGGGATATTTCTATGAAACATGGAGACCAGTGCTTCTGGCCACTGTGGCCAACACAGCAAAAAAGGCTGCTGAGGTTTTTTTTTTTTAAAGTAGTAGGACACAAGCATCCCAGGTCACCCAAGAGGCAGACTGCCTCTCTTCATCAGGATACTTGCTGTTCTCAGCTCCAATTCCAAATCCTGGGGTCTGGAAGGTGTTTATTGCCTGACTCCATCTTCCTCCCTTGTGTCTGACTTCCTGAAGGCACAGTCCCACCTGCACCTGCTTCCCGACCCACCTGAGCTGACAACACACTCCCTGCACAGCCCGCGCCCAACTGTGAACAGCCTGCTCGGAGGCCGTGACGGGGAGGGGAATTTTCTGGGTGAAAGAGGAAGAAGGCAGCTGGTGGTAAAGTGGTCTCACTTCACAGGATGCGGGTGCACACACACGTGTGTGTGTGTGTGTGTGTGTGTGTGTGTGTGTGGTGTGGAGGAAGGTCACCCACGACTGTCTTCGGTTAGGCTTCTCCATCTTCTCTCCCACTAAACTCTGCTCTGAAGGTGACCTGCTTCCTTGGCCCGGTTTCCCACCTCTTAAGTCCCGGGGTTCTGCCTGACCAGTGAAGAGGTCTGTATTGAGTTGAACACATCCTGGGAGCCTGGCCGGTTTCTGAGTTTCTCCTGTACTGTGGGATCTGAGAGCCAGGGACCAGAATGGTGAGGGAACAAACTTGTTTTACCTGTGAGCTTCATCTCAACAACCAGGTCATCGGGGACCCATTCTTCTTTTGTGTGCTTGGGGGACCTGTTTTCAAAATCCCGGTCTGGGAGAGGTGAACCAGCTCCCAATTCCATCATGTCACTGGAATGGGCAGCCCATTTGTGCGAACCACGTGCCCCTAGCTGCCTCCTCAGACACCTGTCTCCTTGTCCCCCTCCCCTCCCCACCTTCAGGGCTGTTGTGAGACAGGGAATCCCAGGGAAGAACTCCAGGTGTCTGGACCCTATCTAGATAATATTTTTAGATTCCTCTATCCCTAGTGGCCTGCTTTGGGGCAAAAAAAAAAAAAAAAAATTGCAAGGACTTTTTTTAAGGGTCAGAGTTTTAAAAACAAAAGCATTGTCCCTTTTGTGAATTGTTTGCACTTGTGCCTGTTTTAAATTAAACGGAGTGTTCAAAACCTCTGGCCTTCCTGTCGTCCCTGGGAATAGAGCCAGGCTGTCTTCAAACTGGACACGCTGTAGTGGGTGTCCAGGGTGGCCCTCCCTCCTCCCTGCTGTGAGCCCCCCGACGGTCATTCTGATCCGCAGAAAATCCTACTCCCTGGTGGCATGTGGGCCTGAAATGAGGGCAGAGAAGAAGGGAAACAGGAAGTGAAAGGCCCTCGGGACTGAAAGAGCTGAGAAATAGACAGGGCTCCTTCCCAGAGGAGAGGAACCCAACCCGGAAAGCCAGGGCCGTGGGCTGTGCTTGCTGGTGCCACAGGGGCTCTGGGGCAGCCACCAGGGCTGACGGCCACTTTCTGCAGCAGCATCTCCCTTCCCCCGTTTGCTTCCCCCACGCCACCTCCCCGGAAAGTCAGAGGCTGCTCCCCTCAAACTGTCCATAGGAAGTGGCCTGGAACTGCTTCCAGTGAGAAAGCAGTCTCTGCTTCGGTTCTCACAACAGAGAGTGACCGTTAGGAGCTGTGAAAGAGCGCAACTGGAAATCAGGAAACCTGGGTCTTTAAACTTCCAGCTCTGACACTGATTCCAGCACTTACTTCCTGAGGTCTCATTCTACCCCCTCTCTGTCAGGGTCACTGAAACCTTCTACCCAGGAGCAAGGAGTCCTGCAGACCTCCTCCCCACAGTTCCCCACCTAGACAGCTGCCCTGGTCTAAGGGCCCCTGTCCCACCAGCTCAGCCAGAAGCAGCACCTGAGTCTTACCTCCAGGAAGCAGCCACAGTGGGCTGGGCAGAGATGGAGGCTGAGGGAAGGCGGAACCTACCTCCCAACCGAAGCCCACGGTCACGAGTGGTTGGCAAGGCAAAAAGAGGCCAGTTCTTGCAACTGAATAACACTGGATTTATTAACTATTCTTTTGAGCTCTAAGAGTCCTTCCACTGCACAGTGTCATTCCAAAAGCATGTGCGTATGTCATTTAGCCTCACACACAGACCGGTTCTGAGCTTGACCCGAGAGTACCAGCTCCAGTGGCACAGGTGACTTCACAATGACGAAAGCAACAAGAATTGGAAAAACAAAATGTTTAGAACAGTCTCTTCTAAACCAGATTGAGCTCGAGGGGACCCCAGCCTCAATGCCTTGGGGCTGACAATAAGGGGAAGTTCAGGATAGCGAAATGTGGTGAAACATCTAAGTTCTGCACAGAGCTGGGCCTGGTAAGAAATCTGCAAGAACAGCAAGGCAGTCAAACACACAATTCAGTTCAGACAGGAAAGATCTGCTGTGGTTTTTTAGAAACATCACTTTCAACCGCCAAACCCTTGGCAATTCCAGAGAGAAGCCCTCATAGTTGTTTGTTTATCCAATAAAGGGCCCAAGGTGACGTTCAACCAGAAATCCCCATGTCGGCAACACTTGAAACATGACAGCACCTTCAACACAATGTGCAACCCAGACCCATGTCTTCAATGTGGTATTCTGAAGAAGCCAAAATACTTGTATTCTTACACCATTAAAAGTAAACTTCATAAAAAATAAACACAGTTGGAAAAGGATAAGTGAACAAGCAAGGATCAGAAAAAAGGAGTTTGCACTTGGGGCGTCCAATTACCACCCATCCCACCCCAGATTCTCTCCTTCTGGCTTTTCAGGCGTTTTTCAGAACTTTTCAGTTCAGCCGCCACCCAGACAGTGGGACTGAGGAGAGGCAGATATGTGGGGAGAGAAAAATGGGGGAAGGGCAAAACACCCCAGAAACGAAAGCAAATCACATCAGAAGAAAACAGTGCATAATCAGCAGGTCTCAAGGTTCAGAAATCGTAAGGGACGGGTTGGAAGCTCCAGTTTCTCAGAAGACAGCAGGAGCTCTCTATATGGAGCCTTAAGCTGGAAGATCTTGGTGTCCTAAGTAAAGGGTCTGGCCTCCTGCTACTCCAAATGCGAGTTTTTTGTTCATTGTCCCTCACTTCACTGCTGTGAAATGACTTCAAGTATCCGGATTTAATACACTACAAGAGGAAGAGGATTCCATGGGTAAGTGCACAGGGAGGGAGAAGTACACAGCGGTGGCTCCAAATAAAACCACAAGGCTGAACTCCGAGCCTGGGCGCAGCGAGAGCGCAACTTTGCCACCAGGGGTCACCAGAGATCACGTCCAGTGTCTGGGCCCTCGCGGCCTCGCGGACCCCGGAGCGGTGGAAGCACTGGGGAGGTGTCTGACACTTACACGAGGCCGGACCCTGATCACCCATCCCTCACCCCAGGCCCAATTTCTCATCACAGGTCATTCTCGCTCTGGGCAGTTCCCCTAGAGTTATTGGTGAGAAACCTTCCGTTCTGCAAAGATGAATAGATCGACGTCTTGAAAAGACCCCACGGCCGGCAGCTGAAGGGCTGCACGCTCAACCTTCGGGGTTCACAAAAAACTCCCCACGTGCTGCCACCCCACGGGCTGGGCACACAGGTTCGTGTGCTGGCGCTTCAGCAGGATCCTAGGGCACGCGATTCGCCAGACCCTCCAGACCCTTCTCGCTAGGCCGGCACAAAGATGAGGGCGGGGGCGGGGAGGGATGGGGACGAAGGGCCGGGCTAGGAAAGGGCCTTTAACCACCTCTCCGCAATTGCCTCTGACTCACTAATCTGCCCAGTACTGAAGCTGAGCCGGGCCTGCATCCCACGCTTTGGGACAGAGGCAGGGGTCCTTGGTCTCGAGCTCTAGCATCCATTATCCACCCTGCCCTCTATTAACGGCCCAGAGAGAAGCAGGAACCGTTTAACAGCCCTCTTCCAGCTCTCAAAGGAGTTTGATATAATTTAAACCCGGACCTGCCGTTCGTGTGGGCTTCAGACTCCCGCGCGCCGCCGCCTTTAACGTGGCAAACACTTCAGTCAATTATCCCCCTCGCGGAGCTTCTATTTAAAGAGACATTGTCAGGTTCTTAAGCCTCGGATCAGACCCGCTGCTTTCTGCTTCACATACAAAGACTCAAAACACGAGTTCTTTGAGGACTGGAAGAAATACAATTAATCAAAGCCTTCGCAACCGTTCCCCCCTGCGGGAGCACCCACGTGCAAGACCGGGAGCTGCGAGGCGGTGGGGGCGGGGGAAGTGCTAAGTCCTTTCCATTTCAGGCCTCTGAGAGTGAGAGGAAACAGGCTCAAGAGCCCAGAGCTGGGCTGGGCAAGGGGGGGCGAGGGGGGCGCGTGAGCGGGATGCGGGGAATGACCCCACATTGTCGATGAAGTTGAATCTTGGGTCTGCCTCCGGCTGAGGCAGAAGAAGCTGGTTCAAGGGACAACTAGCATTCCTCCCACCCCCAAACTATGCTTTCAATGTCTTGAGGCAGGAGTTTCTCCCCCTAAAAATGTAACCTCCAGACTCCTTCCCTCCCGTTCAGAAAGGCTCCGAGGCCCATCTCCAGGCTCCCCTTCTCCATCACTCCAGCACAAGGGGAAGGGATACTTAGGTCATGTGGGGCACTACTGTCAGCAACACTGGGGTAGGGGGGCAGGGGTTGAGGGGTGGGGGAGGGGGAGGGGGGGGGTGGGGAGGCTAGGCCTTTGTTCTACAGGACAACTCTTCTGCCTGGCTGGCTGACTAGGGTGTGGGAAAACCCGGCAAGGGGAAGGAAACCCGGCAGGAGCCTGAAAGACGCGGGAGTGCGCCTTAGCGCTCAGGGAAGGGGGTCCAGCTGGAAAGCTGTAGCCTACGGATCCAGTCTTCTACTCCTCGCTTCCAGGACTGGAACGGCAGGCCTTTAGAAAAGGTGAGCGACTCGGGCAAGGAATACCATCAAGCACAAAAAAGAAATAAGATAGGGGTACGTTTCGGAGAGAGGGCTGAGGGAGCTCTCACCTTGGCAGCAGGGACAGGTGCTAGGATCTGGGGGTAGGAAACTGCCAGGAAGGTGAGGGACCTGGGAAAAAGAAATCCCAGTGGAGCAGAGAGGGGAAGGTGGGGGGAGCAGGGCTCGGCCTCGAGGCTGTTTACTGCTGAGCGTGCAGCACCACGGCCTCCGTGCCCGCCTGCCAAGGCTGAGGCCCAGGCACCGAATGGGGCAGAGCGTTGGGCTCTAATTCTGAGCCGCTCTCGGGCCCAGGTGCTTCCCCGACCAGGCTGGGGATGTCTGGGGCTGTAGAGCGTCGGCGCAAACCCGAGCGGCCAGAGCCGGGGCCGCCCTCGGGGTGGGGGCTAAGGCCGACAGGGGCTTGCACTAAGGTTGGGGGCGCTCCCTCCAGCACCTCCTGCGAACGCCACCGCCCAACGCCTGAAGACTGAGGCGAGTGTGGTTGTGCCATCAGGGCTCCCGCCCGCAGTCGAGCCGCCTCCTCCTCGGTCACGGCACCCAACGCCAGGCTCATGCTCCGGCCCAGCTCCGGCCGCTCGCTGCCCTGCACCCGGTGCCGACCGAAGCCCTTACCCCCTGAGCCAGCCTCGCCGCCGTGACCATGGCCGCCGGCCGCTCGAGCAAAGCGCGCCAGAAGCGGCCGCGGTAGGCGGCGGGGACTGGGTCTTCGGCGCTCCGGGCTGGGCGCGGGAGCCGGACGGCCAGGGGGGCTGTCGGAGTTGGAGCCCCGAGCCGCGGCGGCGGCGGCGGCGGCTGCGCGGCCCCAGGGCCCGGTGAGGGCCTGCACACAGGTCCCGTGGCCGCGGGCGGCGGCCAGTTGCAACGCCGTGTGGCCCGCCCGGTTGGTGCGGTCGAGGCGCAGGCCGAGGCGGCGGAAAGAGCGCACCAGGAACTCGAGCACCGCCCCGTGGCCGCACGCTGCCGCCCACATCACCGGGCTATTGCCCGCCGAGTCGGCCGCCTCGGGGTCGCCGCTGAACTGCACCAGCAGTTGCACGGCGTCCAGGTGGCCGCGCTCGCACGCCAGGCTGAGCGCCGTGCGGCCGCGCTCGTCCCGCAGGTTCACTGCTGCACCCTGCTCCAGCAGTAGTCGCACAAAGCGCGCGCGCAGCGCGGGGTCTGGCAAGCTCACGGCCACCATGAGCGGCGTGCGGCCCTGCTCCGCGCGGCAGTCGATGATGCTGCGGTCCAGCGCATCCAGCACAAAGCGGGCCAGGTGCACTTTGCCCGCCTGCATGGCCTCCAGGAAGGTACGCGTACCCGCTCGGGGGCACAGGTCCTTGGGCTTGAGCATGGCCTCGGCCGCCGCGCCCAGGCGGCCCGGCAGCTCCGCACGGGGGCGCCCCTGTTTCTGAGCCCCACCGGGCTCCGGCCCCCGCCGACGCTCGGGTATGGCTCCCTCCGCGCGTGGGCGGCTGCGGCCCAGGGTCCTGAGGTTCCCACTCTGTCCTCCAGCTGCCCCGCCGCTCCTGGGCCGCACGCCCGGCGTCTCGCTGCTCCTTCCCTGGGCTTCCCGCCTGATGGTGTAGGTTGCTCGCTACTCCGGGCTCCGCGCCTGGCCCGCCACAAGACGACGGGAGCCGAAGCTCGGGCCCCTCCTGACTCTCCCGCTGCTTTCCCAGTGTCCGGCGCCCCTCAGTCCGTCGTGGCTGGGAGCCGCGCCACTCACCCACACCCGGGGCAGCACCGCTCCCCTGCTGAGGCGGTGGCGCCCGCCGTGCGCGCCTGCCTCTAGCCCTGGCGGGGCGCGCCGCTCCTCAATCTCCCGGCGCCGCTCCTCCGCCTCCTCCCCTCTCGCGGGGGCCGGGCCACGCCAGGGCGCTTGCTCCTTACTTGGGGGGCTTGGCGGCGCGGGAGTCGCCGCCCGCATGGATACCTGGTTTTATAGTCTCGGGGGTCTGCATGGCAATGGCTACTCAGGAAGCGGGCTGAGCCGTCAGGGCCGAACCTGACGGGGCGGCGGAGACCGCCCCTGACCTTCACCCACCTCTCGGTGGGCCACGACGTCGGGGAGCAGCTTCTCCTCCGCGCTTCCCTGGGGCTGCGGCAGCGGGGGCGGGGCGGGGGCTGCTCGCAGGGGGCCACATGCACCCGACCGGGCCAATCCCAAAGTCACAGTCTTCTCTCCCCACCCTCCGCCCCCACCGGAGTCGGTGCGCGGGGCTCCATAGAAACTGGCGGGACCCTGAGCCCGTCGAAGAAGACGAGGGCTGCCCCCATCGGTGCGGCTGGAAGGAAGTGGGACCCCATGAGGGCAGAACTGGACCATAAGCGCGCTGGGGGTGGTGGCGAAAGGCGGGCGGGGAGTAAATCACTCCCCAAATCGGGGGGGGGAGTACCTACGCTGCGCGGGGTTGGGGGCCCTCAGTCTGGCTGGGAACCGCCACTGGAAGTGTAGCGAATCACGCACGCACACACAATTGTTCCTCCCGCACACGCTGATTCGGCGCGGGGGTGGCGGTGGGGGAGTGCGCTCTCGTATCTCGGACGTCTCCAACCGAGACAACGCGCCCGCCTGCCAGCTCCCGGCGGCTGAGAAGCTGGCGGTGCGGAGACGCGGCGACTGGAGCGGGCGCCGTAAGATCCGGGAGTACTGCAGCCGCGTTAACAACTCCTCGGCGCCGCCTCCCCGCTGTTTCAGGACCCATCGCCACCCCGGAAAGAGCGAGGGACATGCAAACCTCCCCCAGGGTCCCCATCTCCCTCTTGAGCACAAAACCACCCCCAGACCACAGGGCTCTGACCTTGACCACTAGCTGAACCCTTCCGAGATAAGAAGAGAGCACGAGTCAACAGAGTGTGAGAAAACTACCGAATCCCCTCTCCCTCCGGCCCGCTGCTCCGCCCTGGGAGGGGGGGGAGGAGCAGGCCTCGGAGGAGGGGAGTCAGAGCACCTAAGAGCTGCAGAGGGTGGGAAAGTGTGTAGGGTTGGAATGGATATTTGTGAAAAAAGAAGTGAGTCAGGTATCGACTACAGAATTTACTGAGACTTTTTGTGAGCTAGGTATTGTGTGTTCCCAGCCGTGGGAAATACAGAGGCGGAAATTCGGTTCTGGATGGAAGAAACCTCCCCTCTCAAGCGGGAAAACAAGATCGGGACATAAAAAGTCGAGTTTGTCGCCTAGGGGCTGAATACGTATGTTAAATACAAAACGGAGACAGTCCCTGGAGGAGAAAATGTGGGGAAAGGCGGACTCTAGAGTCTTCTGAGAATAGGGCTTCTGAGATGGTCTTCAAGGATGTGTGGGAGCTGGCTGCTAAGAAGCAAGGGCACGTAAGCAGGAAAAACACCTTTAGTGCTGAGGGCTGCTTTAAGGGGTCCCTTTATATGAAAGACAGGAAATTAAGGGAAGAATAAAGATGTCTTCAGCCTAGGCAAAGCAGTGACCAGAAGCTTCGCAGCAGGCTCTGCTTGGGGAAGGGTATGGGCAAGGAGAGGATTTGCCTCCGGGAAAAGCCCGTGGGCCCAGATGGGGGAGTGGCAAAGTGGGCACATAGCTCTGCACCCTGAGCTTCTCACCTCTCTCCAGCTCCCAGGCTTCAGAGATGCCCACATGGCATCGGGGCCAGCCGTGAAGCAGGAACTCCCACTTCCCTCTCTCCTGGGCGGAGCACGTGATGTATGCCTGTGCACACCGTGAAGCGCCCCTCTTCTGACTTTTTGCATTTTTTAATCCCCCTACTCTGAGATCTGCCACTTTTCTCTCATGGTGTCACAGAAAGGGCATTTGACAGCAAAGTCCCAGCTTGAAGGCGTTTACTAGCAGTGTGGCTCCAGGCCTGCATACTCTCTTCTGCAAAAGGAAGCCAAGAACACCAACCCTGCCTGCTGCAAACAACAGCAAGCTAGGGAGTGTCAGGGAAAGAGCTGCACAGTTATTCAGAGTGCAGAAAGCCCAATCCCACCCACAGACCTGCGGGCCCCACCTGGAGTAGGAATAGACTCGTCAAGCCTAGTAAGGACGCAGGAATGCTCTCCCTGTTTACTCAGGTAGCAGAAGAAAGGTTTTCTTCTCTTCATGACTCAATTTCCCTTTTCTGCAGCATGAAGAGAATTGCTTTCTTCTCTTCTTTCTCTGTTTCCAGGGTTAGGGGAGGGGGTATCCCAGGAATCTGTGTGGCAGGCCAGCCCAACAATCCAGGCAGTGACACCCCCAGGTGGAGGAGAGAAGCAGCAGGAACACAGAAGGGGCACTGGTCCCAAAGAGCCCTGCCCCTCCTCCCTGAGCCAGCTCAGCCTCATTTTTGTCCTTTTTCTCTGTGGTGGATGGAGAGAGTGCCAGGGAAGAAGAGGAGCTGAATCAGGGCCTCACCCTGACCCGTCAGAGTGTGCTGTGCTGGGTACTCTCTGGAAGGAGCGGCCGTTCCATTGCCCCAGCTGGTACTACCAACCCAGCCAGGCCTGAGGTGGGATGGGGGGGGCAGTGCCACGTCTCATGCCCTAAAGCCTTTGCTCTGACTTCCCAGTGGGCTCAGCATGTTCTGAGCAGAAAAGAAATAGCAACGATGAAAAAAAGCTGAGACTCTGCTGAGGAGCATCGAGGCACCAACAGCCGGAATTAGAAGCTGTCGCTTAGGGAGCTGAAGGCTGACAGGCGATGGAGCTGAGGCAGGCAGGGGGCAGGCAGGCACGCCACACTCCCCTTCCCTCCCACCTGCTGAGCCTCCCCCTTGCAGGCCCCAGGCTGGCAAAAGGGCTTCCTCCCAGAGGCGGCTCAGGCCTGCAGTCTGTCACTCTGTCTGCAGCTGCCCCCCTTCCCAGGCCCCCTTCTTTCTTCCTCAAGTGTCACCAGCCCCCTCACCCTGTCACGTTGCACCAGCTCAGCAGGGTTGGGCCTGGTGGCACGTGGCTGGGAGATCCAGAGAGCTGGGGGGGGGGGGTGTGAGTCAGCAGGGGACTCTGGCGTCTGAGTCAGCAGTGGGATTGGGAAGGGGGTAGGGACCCTTCTCTTGATGCAAAAGGTGAAACTGAGGCATGCCAAGTGGATAGGGAAGCTGGCCCCAGCCCCACAGATCTGCAGCAGGAGTGGAAGCCAGTGAGGGACGGCATCAGTTCTTCCTCTGCACATCCCCTGAGGCCAGAGATTCATTCACGTCCGGGGCCCAAGGACTGTGGCATTTTCCCAGGGGCACCCTGCCCTTTTTCCAGAGGACAGAAAGCAGGGAGGTGGGTATTTGCCCTGCCCTCCTGGGAAGCCCCCAGCCTGCTGTGCAGAGGCCTCTCCAGGAGGGAGGATTGCATCCCCTTCCCCATTCCTGGGCTTCTCAGCCCCAGACTGGAGGCCTAGAGACTCTGCCCGGCCTGACTGAGGGGCAGAGAAGGCAGTCTTCTTCCCCTGAGCGGTCATTGGTCAAAGCTGGGGACTGCCCGGTGGGCCCTATTTGGCACTGGTTCCGGCTTATGCCCCATGCCCAGGTCAGTGAGTTCCTCTAGGCCTGGATCCTCATCCCTGTGAGGTTCTACCCCTGGGTTGGGGAGGAGATGGGGCAGCTGAGTGCTCAGCTGGAGTGCTGAAGACAGGGCACTGCCCTGCGGTGTCGGTGTCCCGCCCTCCGCTGTCTCCAGTGTGTATGCAGGCTGACTAATGACAGGCCTTACTCCTCTGAATGCGCAGGCCCCCTAGCCTCACCCTGCAGCCAGGGACTGCTAGCATCACAGAGATCAAGCCCCCAGAGGGATGGGGGGAGGGGCTAATGGCATTTGCTATAACTCTCTGATAAGAAAACAGCCCAGAATCAACACCCACCCTGCCTCTCCAAAGCCAGTGTCTGTTTTCATTTGCGATTTGGGACTATGTCAATAGGTGCAGTGAATAGCTGTTCAGAGGCCTCTCTACAGCCTGTCTGGGTCAACCATAACGGCCACAGGAGCCTGAGAATGCGACCGGGCTAAGTCTGCCTAAAGGGGCCCAGGTGGCCTGACAGCTTGCGACTCCCCAAGAGGGTGGGGGGCACCTCTGCAGGAGGCTCTTCTGCTCCAGCCCTGAGGGTGGAGACAAGGAAGGGCCACATCTGGTGAGGAGTGGAACAGAAGGGTGACATCATTTTCCAGTGGTTGTGGCATCAGGGCCGGCAGATGGGGAAGTGAATCCTCTTCAAGCCCAGAGGCAGGGCCATTCCACTGAGCTCTAGAAGGGACCTCATGCCCAGGTCAATTCTCATGGACTTTTTCCCCAGCCCACTTCATTTGGGGGGCACTCTACTCCGCTGCCCCCCCCCCATTTCTTTTATTTATTTTTGGCTGCGTTAGGTCTTCGTTGCTGCGCGCGGGCTTTCTCTAGTTGCGGTGCGCGGGCTTCTCATTGCAGTGGCTTCTCTTGTTGCAGAGCACAGGCTGTAGGTGCTCAGGCTTCAGTAGTTGTCACTCGCGGGATCTAGAGCACAGGCTCAGTAGTTGTGGCGCACGGGCTTAGCTGCTCCGCGGCATGTGGGATCTTCCCGGACCAAGGCTCATACCCGTGTCCCCTGCATTGGCAGGTGGATTCTTAACCACTGCGCCACCTGGGAAGCCCTGCCCATCCCCACCCGCCTTTCTTAGCTGTAGAACAGAGGCCAGGCTTAGGCAGGAAATCTTGAGACAGGGTTCTTTAGTAGGAGTAAGAAAGAGAAAAATAAATAAACCTCATAAAGTCAGGAGAGAAAATGGTGCTGACCTTGTCAGGACAGCCTGAGCTGGGGCACATGCTGGGAAGTACCCCCCAGGCCTAGGAAAAGTGGTGGCTGGGCT